AGAGCAACCCCCCCACCCCAGCGGGAGAACCCCCCCATCCCAGCAGGAGAAGCCCCCCATCCCAGCAGGAGAAGCCCCCCCATCCCAGCAGGAGAAGCCCCCCCACCCCAGCAGGATGCAGAGCTTGCCATGCTGTAGAGCTGAGCCAGCCTGGAGTCCCTGTGCTGCCCACCATGGGGACACATCTACCCCAGGGCTTCAGAGAAGGTCCCTGGAGAGCAGTGGGTCACATCCAGGCTGAACAGCACCCAAAGGGGGGGCAGCAGCAGCAGCCCCACACTGTGCTGAGGAGGCCAGAGGGTCTGAAAGGGAAGCTGAGCTCAGGAAGAGGATGCAGAGCAGGGGCTGGAGCTGAGCCCAGATGTCCTGCCCTGGGGCCAGATGGTCACTGTGCCCCTTTGCAGAAGCCCTGGCACCCACCAGCTGGAGCCCAGATGCCACTGGAACCCGTTTCCCATCAGCTGCTGCTGACTCAGCACCCAGGGTGGGTGGGAGGGGGCCCTGGGACAGGGTCCCACAGGACACTTTCCCACGCTCCCCCTCCACGTGCACAAGGTCCAGCGTTGACCTCAGGCCACCAGCTTGGGGTGCCAGCCCTGCCCAGCCCTGCCCAGGTCCCTTCTTTTGAGGCACAGACCCCAGGGGGCTGGGTCCCCTCCCCAGACCAGCCAAACATCATCCCAGCTGGCCCAGGTTGCTCCCAGCTGCTCCTCGTGGAGGTTCCTCCAGACCCCTCCTCCTGAAAACCCAGTGGGTGATGTCCCAGTGGGTTTGGCTCTGGGTCCTCATTCCTGAGCTGGGACCCCCCCTCTCAGGGTCAGGGTCTTCTCCTCACTCTGGACACGCTGCAGTGAAACATTCCCCCCTTCCCCCCAAAATGAACAGCCAGAGTAAAGTCTCGTGGTGATGGGATGTCCCAGGGAGGACTTGGGGACACCATTGTCCCCACAGGCTCCAGCACCTGCTCTCCCCTGGGCAGGGGGTCCCATCAGGGCCCAAATCCTGGAGACCCCCTGGGTGTGCTGAGTGGGCACCCCCAGGGTACCCCCCTGCTCCACAGCACAGGGCCAAGGATGCCCCGAGAGGCTCTGGGGGTCCCGGGAGGGCCCCCCCAATATCTCTCCTAGCCTGGGGGGGGCTGCAGAAACCCCCAGTGGGGACCCACAAATGAGGGGAAGGCAAGAAGTGGCTGGAGGGGGCAGCCCCTCCCCAGGAGCAGGACAGGGCTCAGGAGGGGGAAGTGCTGCAGCCTGGGGCTCCTCACCCCCCGCTGGATAAAAAGCTGTGCCCGCTGGTGGCCGAGGCACCATCCCTGGACAGCCCAGCTCAGGACCCCACGCAGGCATCCCCGGGTAAGGTACCATCCTGCCCCAAGGGGCTCCATCCTGCAGGAGGGTCCCTGTCCTGCCCCGAGGGTCCTAATCCTGTCCTGAGGGTCCCAATCCTGTCCTGAGGGTCCCAATCCTGTCCTGAGGGTCCCCATCCAGCCCGAGGGTCCCCATCCTGCACTGAGGGTCCAAATCCTGTCCTGAGGGTCCCCATCCTGCCCCAAGGGTCCCCATCCTGCCCCAAGGGTCCCCATCCTCCCCCAAGGGTGCCCTCAAGGCCCAGAAACCAAAACCAGGAGCCTCATGGCAGAAGAAATGAAACTGGAGCTGGGGAGGGTCTGGGTGCTGAGCAGCCTTTCCTTCCTCCTGCCTCCATCCCCAGCTATTCCTGCCCCCCAGCTCCCCCCAGAGCCCCCCATGTCAGGTGCTTTGGGCAGCAGGAACCCCAGGCAGGAGCAAAGTCCCCCCGGGGGGGGGTTTGGGGTCTGAAATCCCTCCTGACGAGCAGCAAATTCCGAGCAGATGTTGGGGAAACGAGGGAAAAAAACCTGGTGTTGGCAAAGCTGCAGCTGGTGGGAGGAGGAGGAGGGTGGCTGAGGGGGGAAGGAGCTGCTGCCCTTGGTGTGGGAAGCTGAGCAGTTTGGGAAAGGTCTGAATGGAGACGAATCTGTCAACGGGTTTTCGTGGTCACGGAAAAAAAGTTCAGCAACAAACTCTGATTGATCAGCGAGTTCCTACGTGTATAGATAGAGATAAATTGAAAGGCTCTTTTGGCAGTTTGCTGGGGTTTAGAGCTGCCCAAATCCATGAATCTGCTTAAAAACGGACCCCCACCTCCCGTTTGACCACCCCAGCTGGGTGCACAGCACCCAAGGGGAGGCCACTGGTGCTGCTGTGGCTGCTGTGGTGGAAACCAAACCTCTGGGGGCTAAAAACCCACATCCTTGGCTCCCACACCCAGGACTTCAAACTCTCCTGAGAGTTCAGGGGGTTCCCTCTGCCCCCCACCCCTCTCCCAGCCTGTCTGGAGGCAGCTCCTGCTCCCAGCAGGATTGATCCCGCGGGGTTGATAACGGGTTGTGTTGCAGGGTCTCCCAGGGCCTTTGGCCACCTCTTCTTGTTGCCCTGTTGGCTCCCTCTGCCCAGTGCCAGCCTGACAGACCAGCCACCTCCCCCCCGGTGGCATCAGCCACCAGGGACCCCCGGCAGGGACCCCATGGCCCTGCCCTGCTGGCTCGTCCTCCTGGCCAGCCTTGTCCCACCAGGTGAGAGCACCAAGGGGCCCGTTGCCCCCTGCCCCTGCAGGGGCTGCTTGCCTGGATTTGCAGCAGGGAGGGTGGGAGTGGGAGGTCCTGGCAGTGACACGGACAGAGCTCCAGGGACAGGCAGGACAGGCTGATGGGGGGTGGTCCAAGGCAAGTGGCCACCGGGCACTTCTGCACCACTGATGGAGAGTGGGATAAAGGCACCACAGCCTCGTGCCCCCCAAGCAGCCCCTGCCAGGCCACAGCCCTGGGCACCCCCTGTCAAACCGGGCTTTGCTGCTCTGAATTTGCATTCATTTTGCAGCACCTTCAGAAGGGTTTCAGGGAATCTGTTTCACACCACGTCAGGAAATGGCTTTGGGTCTTTTGTCACTGCCCTCAGCTCGTGGGGCTCCCACAGACCCTTTTGGTGGCATTTTTAAGATTGCACTTGTTTAACATCACCTGCAGGAAATCTCCAGCCTTTGGCTGTGTCGCCTTCATCTCCTCGTTAATCCTCCGTGTCACAGAAGGTGTCACCCCTGTCCCCCCCTGGGCAGACACAGTCCCAAGAGAGGAGCCACCAGCTCCTCAAGGGCCTGGTCACGGTGCTGAGCTAGAGCCACCAGGGGGCTGCTGGTGGTGGAAGTGCCTGGTGGTCAGTTGGCAGTGGCCAGTTGTCCCTTCCTCCACGGGGCTGAGCTCTGGGACGGGGTGGCAGAGGGACAACCAGGACAGGAGGGGAAGAACATGCCCAGCGGTGCCCCCACCTTGACCCCCTCTCCCCTCTGACACAGCCGTGGGGTCCTGGGGGGTCGCCTACCCCGAGTCTGTGCTGGGTGTCAGCGGCTCCTGCGTGGTGATCCCCTGCACCCTGACCCACCCCCCCGAGGTGTCCACCCGGGACGGCATCGTGGCCATCTGGTACAAGGACTACGACGGCCAGAAGACCTTGGTCTACCACTCGGAGGGCCAGGAGGTGGACCCCAGCTTCAGGGCCCGTGTCAGCCTGGTGGGACAACCGTCCGTGGGCAAGTGCAACCTGCTGCTGTGGGGGGTGACACCCCAGGACTCCGGGCCCTACAGGTTCCGCTTCGAGATCGTCAACGGCGACCGCTGGTCGGCGACCAGGGACGTGGTGCTGAGGGTTTCAGGTGGGGACAGCAGTGACACCCCCAGCCCCCCGTGGCTTCCTGGAATGTTTGAGCTGGAAGGGACTTTAAATCTCATCCAGTTCCAACCCCCCCTGCATGGGCAGGGACACCTCCCAGCAGCCCAGGCTGCTCCAAGCCCCATCCAACCTGCCCTTCAACACTGCCAGGGATGGGGCAGCCACAGCTTCCCTGGGCAACCTGGGCCAGGCTCTCCCCACCCTCACAGCCCAGAATTCCTTCCTAAGGTCTGACCTAAATCTCCTCTCTTCCACCCTCTGCTCTCCATCCCCAGACACCCTTGAGCAGCCCAGGGTCACTGCCAGCAAGGAGCAGACTGAGGGGCAAACAGCCACCCTGGAGTGCTACACCCCTTACTTCTGCCCGGACAACTTCATCCTGCACTGGGTGGGCTACGACCCCCAGGTCTCAACGGTGTCCAGCGAAGTCCAGTTGGACACCAGCGGCGTCGGCCACCAGCTGAACCTCACCACCTCCTTCACCTGGAAGGACCACTCTAGAAAACTGCTCTGTGAACTTTCCTACAACTCCAGGAAGGCAACCAGGGAGGTGGTCCTGTGGGTGAGACGTACGTTGGGCAGCTCTGCT